AGCAGATTGCCGCAGGCAGGAGGCAGGGGAGGGAGGGGGGAGGTGCGAGGATGCGACGTGCGCAGTAAAGGGGGAGGAGGGGGGAAGAAGAGGCGGGTTAAGGGTGGGGGCTTGGAGGAAGGGGGGGCGTGGGTGGGCTGAGGGTTGAGCCCCCCGCCCCTGGTGCTTGCAGAGTAGGGGAAGCTGCCGCTGCTGCTGCACAACGTGCTTCTCCTAGCCTACAGCACCTTCAGCCTCCTTGCCTGCCTCATTGTCTCCAGTGCCAGTGGGCTGTGCCTGTGTGGGGTAAGGTGTGGGCACCTCCCAACTATTGTACTTTACTGTACTGTATGGCCAAAAAAAAATTCCCTGGAACCTAACCCCCCCATTTACATTCATTCTTATGGGAAACTGGATTCGCTTAACATCGTTTCACTTAAAGTCGCATTTTTCAGGAACATAACTACAACGTTAAGTGAGGAGTTACTGTACGTTTCTGGAATGTTGCATTCAAATTTGTTACATTAGTATTGCTACAAACAACTCCAAACACCCTCGCTGTCTTAGAAATACAGCTCAGTGTAAATGTATACAGCTAGGAACAAGGAATGTAGGCCATATTTACAGGATGGAGGACTCTACCTGGGAAGCAGTGACTCTGTAAAAGATTAGGGGATTGTGGTGGATAATCAGCTGAACATGAGCTCCTAGTGTGACACCGTGGCCAAAAGAGCTAATGTGATCCTCGGATGCATAAACAGGGGAATCTCAAATAGGAATAGAGAGGTTGTTACTTCTGTATTTGGCACTGGTGCAACCACTGCTGGAATATTGGGTCCAGTTTTGGTGCCCACAATTCAAGAAAGATGTTGATAAATTGAAAAGGGTCTAGAGAAGAGCCACGAGAATGATTAAAGGATTAGAAAACCTGCCTTATAGTGATCGACTCAAGGAGCTCCATCTATTTAGCTTAACAAAGAGAAGGTCAAGAGTGATGATTACAATCTATAAGGACATAAGTCCGGAGCACCCAGGCAATTTAAATGACTGCTTTTGAAAATCCCACCAATGGCTTCTTAGGCAACTTGAGCAAGGCTAAAATCCCTTGGGCGTTCAACTACCACTTGAACCCCTAGATAGTGGCCCAAATGGCTATCTGCATCTGCCCAAGCTTTTGAAAATGTTAGCAAATGTGTCTAGACACCATCCCTTATGTGTTTCATGTTCTACTTCTGCCACATTCAAGGACAGGAAATTAAAAGCTGCAATATCTGCACTTTTAAAAAACCCAGCGACTAATTCCTCTCTCCTCCCCTCCATCTATTTTTGAGGCTTTTCTATCAATTTGAGGGCAGTAACCTCATTGTATTGCCTCAGTAGGCCAAGGGTGCCCTAGCATCTTGAGTGATTTTGAACGGGAGGAAATGCAGTAACATTTACCGAAGGGGAGAACGGCAGCACTTGGAGAGCATAGGATGACACAGGAGTAAGATTGTGAAAATCCCAGCATCTTGTGCGCAGCCGAGCCCGAACTTTCAAATAGCTTGGATGCCTGTCCTGAAATCATGTTTTTAAGCATCCAGCCATGTTGTTCTTTGAAAGTGTCCCTTGTTGTAGGTGTGCCTAAAGCTGGCTGCTCAAATCCTCTGCAGAGTATCCAAAAGAGGCCACTTGAAAATTCCTTGCCATGTGTCTTTCTCCAAAGCCACATAGGAAGTCAGTGACAGAACTGGTAGCAGAACCTAGGCTTCCTGAATCCCAGTCCTCTGCCTTAGCCACAAGATCATCTTTCCTTTGTGCTTTCTGAAAGAGGTTGCAATATGTCCAACTCAGGCAGGACATACTGGTGCACTTTTAAGTCATAAGGATTTGCAAATTGGCGGTAAATATCTATCATAAGGATTTGAGACCCCGAAAGTTAAAGCTCCAACCACCACATCCCAAGCTCTAGATATCCTCGACAAATACTTAGAAATAAAATTCTTGGGCTTTGCGGTCTCCCCTGAATATCAGTCGATTCAGGCTATTTTAGGCAAAAGGGCAGGTGTGAGTTTCAAGTTTGAAAGGCCCTCACAGAGAGCCCAGACAACAGCTCCCTTTGTATTAAACCAATAGAGCTCAACCCTTTACACTGGTTACTAAACTAACTCACTCCCCATGTGACTCTGCTGCAAAGAGACAGTCTTTTGGCCAATGGGGTCCTAAGCCATTAATGTAGACGTCAAACCCCACACCTTAAACGTCACCGGGGAGCTATTAGGCTACCACAGCAGCCAATACAGAGTGTAGAGCACCAAGGTGCTCATTACACAGTACGACACCACATTTCTGCTATCTGAAAATGCAAGAGCATCTGGAAACCTAACCAGACCCCTAATTGGCAAATTCACATAAAAACAGCAGACTCAGACCTGAAAGCAAAGCAGCAGCTTTGATTCTTATCACATAGCATTCCGTGATCACAGATAAGTTGGATAAACTGCCTGGAACATCCCACCTCAAATGAAGATAGTTTATTCTTTAGTAATTATAATATTCTGTGCTATGTCCAGTAAAGAAATAAAAGCCTGTTCTGAATTGCTCAGAAAGAACAAAGTACATAGCTCCAGTTTACTGGAGAGCCATATATATATATATATATATATAAACTATGGACCATAATGAGCAGATCTTCCCTACCTCACAGGGGTGTTGTAAAGATAAATGCATGAAAGCTTGTGAGGCGCTCAGCTCTTATCCTAACAGGGCCATATAAGTACCTAAGACAGAGATAGGCAGAAACATGGAATTTGAAACTGAGGTGTTGCACATTGTAACATATTTCACCACTGACAGAAGCTCTTCTTCTCCCCTTCCTCTGCATGCATCCAAGTACATTAATTCTTAACAAGAGTCTTCCATAGGACTCATGGAAGAAAAAAAACCCTTCACAAAAGGTTTGATTCTTAAGGAAGTACCCAATGGGAGCTTAGCCATTGACTTCAACGGGAGTAGGATCATGTTCTAAAGAAATATCATGTAGAGATGATTTGTACCGGGTGTGCGAGCCATGCCAATTTGAAGCAATACTATATAGCATCATACCAAGTGATTCACTTTCAAAGGTTAAGGTAGTAATTATTCAGTAATAATCAATACATGTAATCTCAGTAGCAACACCAGATATTTTGCTCTGCATAAAGTACTATTGCACAAGGCTAGATGACAAGATAGCATCTGAACAAAAAATATCTGCAGCGCTTTAGCAGTAGCAATTGATCAGTGTTCATGTATAGCTGACAATGTTCATAATCTTTTCAGCCTCACAGATTTTGCCATAGAGTGATTCAAAATGACGCAGAAGTCCAGAATCCTAATATCCTAATATATAGATAATCTGCAAAGCTGCATATGCAGAACTGCCTTGAGTCATAGTAGGGGGGAGGGATAGCTCAGTGGTTTGAGCATTGGCCTGCTAAACCCAGGGTTGTAAATTCAATCCTTGAGGAGACCACTTAGGGATCTGGGGTATTTGGTCCTGCTAGTGAAGGCAGGGGGCTGGACTCAATGACCTTTCAAGGTCCTTTCCAGCTCTATGAGATAGGTATATCTCCATATATATATTTGGGGATGCAAAATCATATATATTAAAATAGCACCTGAAGGCCCCAACCCATTGCACTAGGCACTGTACAAACATTAAAATAAAATATGGTCCCTGCCCCAGATAGTTTACAATCCAAGTACGAGACAAGAGATAATGGGTGGATACAACAGACAGCAGCAGTATAAGGTAACAGACAATTTTGATCAGTACAAAAGTGTTCACAGCACGTTAACTATCTAATCATTGCCAAGTTTATGGCAGGCATGATTTCTAAAAGAGCTAAAGTATTTTGAATAATTAGTAACAATATTAAGGTAAAAAATCTGAACCCAACGTTGCTGAAACAGACACATTTATATGATTCTCAAATTAAATCTAAAATATGGAGCTGTATGATTCATAGCTAAATTACTTTCAGGTCCTATTTTGGATTCCCTGTGAGTTCTTCCCGAGTAAGGAACGCAGAATAGGATACCCTGCGATTAAGTTGGTCTATGGTGCAGCTGGAGCAATGGAATCAAGACTTCCTCTTCCACATGGGAAATACTATTTAGGGCATAGAACAGACAAGAGAAGCTATAAACCCATTCAAGAGAAGGTTAAAAACTAAATGAAGCCAAAGCAAACAAACTCAAACTTGCTTGTCTTAATGCAAAGAAATAAATGTCTGGTTCTATATCTAACTACCAAGTACTGGGAAATGCATTGCAGTATCCTACCTGTTAGAAATGGTCTTCTAAGGAGCTATCATATTCCCCCCCTACACTAATTTTTGGTTCAATGGAGTTCTTTTGGATAATACACACTCGATTCAGTTAAATGTGTACCTGGCACAAGGGGGCCCCAATCGGGTCGGAGTGTTACCACAATACACACAGAAAGAGAGAAATGGGAGACTGCCCCAGAATGAAAAGGCAAGTGTCTGTGGCCATACCTAGGCCAATCAGAAAGTGAACGGTTCTGAGAGGTGATGGGAGGGAAATTTAAACGCACGCGGGGGTTATGTTACTTCACCCAACTCGTGACCCGAGCTGGAACCATTCCCGGGCTACACTCGGGTCATTCAGCGGGCAGCTGAGCTCCTGTCCTGTCCGCGGCCGGACCCCACGCACCAATCAAAGCCGCTGCTATAAAAGCCGGCTGCAAGGCCGGGGTTTGATTGGTTAATGGCACGCGGAGGGCCCCCGGCGCGCTCCATCCCATAACAACAATAGCCAAGTAGCCCATAGCCCCTGGGTCTCTAGCTGTCCCCGCGTGCCCCGAGCACCCGCTCCGGAGGAGTTTGGCACACGTGCCCCCGCGCACGATCCCAGCCGAGCCCGTGGGGCCGCTCTGCAGTGTGGACGCGGTGCAACATCCACGGCGCTCGCCGGGCCAAGCACCCCGCGGCCGGGGCGTGGGGCAGGCTCCAGGGCTGGCAAGGCGGGGCACGTACCTTGTTGAGATGGGGGTTCCTGGTGATGTCGTAGCCTCTCTTCTTGGTGGCCTTGGAGGGGGCGCCCCGGGCTTCCCCCGAATGGCAGCCTCTGCTCAGCGGGGGGCTCAGGAGAGGCAGCCACTGGCTCGCCCCCGCCACCCGCAGCAGGCGGCGCCCAGCTCGGTTGCAAAGCGGTAACATTGCCTCGGGAGCCCGGCTCCACCTGGTCGGTGCAAGCCCCAGGCAGAGCGGTCAGCGAGGCAGCTTTCCCCAGGTACCTGCAACGGTGGGGGAGACCTGGGGACCTGCAGGGATGGGGGGCAATCCGGGGGTGGGGGACCTCACCACCAGCTCTGGCCCAGGGGTGGGTTTGGAGCGGGTGCTGCTCGCTGCTGGTTCCCAGGCAGCGCAGGGCTCCGGGCTCATCACCCAGCACCAGCAAGTACCTCAGCCCCTGGAGCGACCCTGCAAAAGCGAAAGCAAACCCAGGAAGCAGATCAAGTAGCAGCTGCAACCCAGGGCCTGGCTGCGGCGGAGGCAGCGCCTCCTCCCAGCTGTCCCCCCACCCCGGACCCGTCAAAGCTCAGATGCACTGGAGAGAGAGAGGGTGATCCCGGCATCTGCTTCTCCAGGGTCACCGGGCTGCCCCCCTGCGCTGGGAGGGACGGAGGAGGTTGGTCCGGTGTGAGACCAGCCTCCCCAGGATCGTGCAGCTGCTGGGCCACCAGAACAATCACAGCGGGCTCTGTCTTCCCTGCCCCCCTCGTCCCCAAATCTAGCCCCAGGCAGCAGGAGTCTGAGCCTCCCTCCTCCTCCTCCAGCCAGCTGGCAAAGGGGAGAGAGCCTGGAGTACAGGGGCTAAGTTCATTCCCCCTGCGCCACCCAGGCAGAACCCCGAGTGATGGAGCTACCCCCATCCCTTCTCTGCATCCCCTGAGCCAGCAACAGGGAGAGAACATGCGGGAAATGAGGCTTGATTCCCTGTGCCCTGAAAGGCCGCTGCAGAGGTTCAGACGCTCCCAGGCTAGCAACAAGGACTTAGGAGGCAGGAGCTCTATAGGCCCCACCATCAAAACAAATAGATCTGGGGTGCCTGGAGGTGTGATCCCTGCAGAGCCGCACAGGAGTGCTGTGCTCAGGCCCCCTCTCATCAGAGCATGCTTATGGGACATGCTGCTGGTGGCATATTACGCAGATTGCATACCCAGCAAATAGACAGGACAGATAGAGGCTTAGATATGTGGGTACTTTTTATTCAGTACTCAAAATACATTCACCTGCAAAAACCCCAGCACATTTGTCCAAATGTTTTGAATATTAACATTTGAGAGACATACTGGTCTGTTAAACCCATAGATTGAGATTGTACTCAATTTAATAAAGTCACTAGAAATGACACAAGTGTTTTCATGAGACTCTCTGTATAATCAAAAACAACAAGGAGTCCTTGTGGCACCTTAGAGACTAACAAATTTATTTGGACATAAGCTTTCGTGGGCTAAAACCCACTTCATCAGGTGCATGGAGTGAAAAATACAGTAGGCAGGTATAGATATTACAGCACATGAAAAGATGGGAGTTACCTTACCAAGTGGGGGCGGGGGTCAGTGCTAACGAGGCCAATTCAAACAGGGTGGATGTGGCCCATTCCCAACAGTTGACAAGAAGGTGTGAGTATCAGAGGGAAAATTAGTTTTTGTAGTGACCCAGCCACTCCCAGTCTTTATTCAGGCCTAATTTGATGGTGTCCAGTTTGCAAATTAATTCCAGTTCTGCAGTTTCTCGTTGAAGTCTGTTTTTGAAGTTTTTTTGTTGAAGAATGGCCACTTTAAGTCTGTTATTGAGTGTCCAGGTAAGTGCTCTCCTACTGGTTTTTGAATGCTACAATTCTTGATATCTGACTTGTGTCCATTTATTCTTTTGCATAGAGATGGTCCAGTTTGGCCAATGTACATGGCAGAGGGCATTGCTGGCACATGATGGCATATATCACATTGGTAAATGTGCAGGTGAACAAGCCCCTGATGGTATGGCTGATGTGGTTAGGTCCCCTGTTAAACAGAAAGATCTGAGGACTATATTCTTGTATAATGTCTCTTTAAACAAAAGTTACCTGTGGTAATGATTGTTTTGTTTCTGATATTTACATGGGAAGGATTTGTAAACTTGTTAAAACTTCCCCCCTCCCGAAAAAAAAAACAACTCCAACAACTAAAGCAAGTGGCATATTAAGTAGAGCCAAATTAGTGTGACATTGGGGTCACGGGTTAAAACTGAGAGCTCTTTGCAAATCTAGGGAATGTCAGTCCTTTCCCAAAGCCCTCTCATGCAACCTTCAACCATGAACAAGGAGGGAGATTGGGACAAAGGACTGAGGCCTGGTCTACACTACAAAGTTAGGTCGACATAAGCGGCGTTAGGTCGAGTTAATAATGTGTGTGTCTACACAACCGAGTCCCTTCTGCCAACCTAAAGGGCTTGTAAAATCAACTTCTGTACTCCACCTCCGCAAGAGGTATAGCGCTTCAGTCGACATCCACACATCGACATGGGGATAGTGTAGACACTGTGCTGTATAATTCGAATGAAAATTGGCCTCCAGGAGGTGTCCGACAATGCTTCGCTGTGACCACTCTGGAGAGCACTTTCAACTTCATTACACTTCAGCCAGGTACACAGGAAACAGTCGCCCCCTGGTTAAAGCCCCGGGAACTTTTGAATTTTCATTTCCTGTTTGATCGGTGTGGAGAGCTTGTCAGGACAGCCGACAATGGATGCTCAAGGCCGCAAACGCGCTCCAGCATGGAGCACACAGGAGGTGGTGGATCTTATTGCTTTGTGGGGAGAAGAGTCTGAGGCAGAGCTCTGAACCAGCAGAAGAAATGCTGACATCTATGCCAAAATCGCGTGGGGCATGGGGGAGAAGGGCTACACCAGGGACACACAGCAGTGCCATGTGAAAATAAAGGAGCTTCAGCAAGCGTACCAGAAGACAAGGGAGGCAAACAGTTGCTCTGGTTCTGAGGTACAGACATGCTGCTTCTTGGTGGCGACCCTATCGCTACCCCAAAACGCTCCATGGATACCTCCCAGGCTGTCTTAAAAGCTGCAGCACAAGACCTCTTGCCCATGCCTTGTGGCCTTATTCACCATGGTTGTAGCAGCAACCCGACTCTTGCAGTAGCCAGCTCTTCTGCTTAAGTTGTGGCTTGCAGGGAAGTGCATTGAGGGGTGTTTCTTTTATAAAAAGATTTAACCTTGCACCAGACACAATGTATGCACTGTCAATACTACTCTTGTGCTTTGTATTCTGTGCAACTGAAACCTAGTCCGTAGGCGCATCCTCCACGCTGGGACAGAGACTTTCCCAGATTAGAAGGCGGAAAAAGACGACTCGGGAGGACATGTTCAATGAGTTAATGCGCGCCTCCAAGAGTGACAAGACGGAGCTCAGCGCATGGAGGATTACACTGTCCCACAATGACCACGAGGACAGAAGAGCATGCAGGGAACACGAGCGTGTCACGCAGGATGAGATGGTGCAGATTATGAGGGAGCAAACAGACATGTTGAGGCGTCTGGTTGAGGTTCAAGAAAGGCAGCTGGATGCTAGAGTCCTGCTGCAGCCTATGGTGAACCTGCTGCCATCGTTGCCAAGTTCCATATCCTCCTCTCCCAAACGTCCTAGTATGTGTGTATGGGGGGGTGTCCGGTATCCCTTGCACTCAACTCCAGGGGAGGGTACAAGGACCAGAAGGCACCCATTCCCACACCTTTGATTGTTATTGCAGTGCAATTGTAAGCAAGCTGTCCTTGTTTCTCCCTCCCCCCCGCCCCCGCCAGTGTTATCAGCCCTTTTGCCCTAGGTTATCTTACTTTTCTTTGCTGTCTCTCAGTGTTTGTGAGCATAATAAAAATCAATGGATTGAAGAGAAAAGGCTTTTTATTCATTCAACACACAGCCGTTAGTGGGGGTGTAGTTTACAGGGAGTACATGCAATGAAGGGGACTGCTAGATAAGGAACAACACACATAAGTGTCACATTACTGTGGGTCATTGATGAAACTAGTTTTCAAACTAGACTCAGTGCGCCTCGATGTGGTCTTCTTATTGCCCTGGTGTCTGGCTGCTCAAAATTGGCTGCCAGGTAATCTGCCTCTACCCTGCCAGAAACTTTTCTCCCTTTGTTTCACAGATATTATGGAGCACATAGCAACCACAATGGGTATATTGCTTTCACTAAGGTCTAACCTAGTAAGCAGACTATGCCAGTGGGCTTTTAAACATCCAAAGGCACAGTCCACCACCATTCTGCATGTGCTCAACCTATGGTTGAACCGCTCCTTACTGCTGTCCAGGCTGCCTGTGTATGGCTTCATGAGCCATGGGAGCAAGGGTAGGCTGGGTCTCCCAGGATCATGATTGGTATTTTAACATCAGCAACGGTTATTGTGCAGTCTGGAAAGAAAGTTCCTGCTTGCAACTTTCTGAACAGACTGGAGTTCCTAAAGATGCGTGCATCATGCACCTTTCCTGGCCATCCCACGTTGATGTCGGTGACGTATTTCAATAGAAGTTAGGAGCCTAAATACCTTTGAGGATCTGGACCTTACCCTTTCGGTGAACAGGGGATAACATGCCTTACTTCGCAGGGGTATTGTGAGGACAAATAAGGTACTGGGGACCAAGCCTGTACCTTATCTAGATAGACACATTACCCACTTGAAATTTAAACAATTAAAAAAAAAATAGGTTTAGCTCCTACATTCGCCCAGGGGTCCCCTTCTCAATTTCATTGTACAACCCCATTTTCCTGTTTTTAAAACATCTCTCTTTCCTGCATTGTTGTGTGAAAGAAACAAACAAAAACACAACCAGGGAAACTGACTAACTCAACAGAGGAAACAGTGGTACTGATTATACACAAAGTGTTGCTCAACTGCACACAAAAAAATGAAAAAAAAAAAATGAAAGAACTGGTTTCTCTCCTTACTTTCCTGCATGTTACTTGTGACAACAGTACTGCAACCATTTCCGGACATTATTGATTGGTGGCTCTTTCATTCACTAAAGTTTGGAAGATCCTCTGGAACTACAAAGGTAAATGCCACAAAAATAGCTACAAATAAACAAGTCTCAGAGTTCAAAGCAGATCATTCCACAGTCAGCCTTGCCAGATTACAAAATAAGATTATACTTGTCTCTGTGCATATATTTTCTCCACTTGCTCTAATAAGCTGAGATATAAAAAAGAACTGTGTAATTACAGAGTTCCTGCTGTAAATTATGTGCTGACACTCTGAGCTCCAGTTCAGCACTGATGTTATTAGTCCCATGGCTGAGATACCAAAAAATACTCTGTATTCCTATAGCAACCTCCCCATCACAGAGAAGTACACTGTACAAATATTTATGAGGCATCTAGATACCACAGAGATG